GCAGAGCCTTTGGATTATTCGTGGTTTTTAGGGGGAGAAGAGGACGTTTGTCGAAAGTTAGGGCAGTCGTCAAGTTTCAGAATGGTTCAGGGGTTCTGCGTTTGAGGAAGGGTTGGGTGGAGGCGGGGCGCGCGCAACGACAACTCAAGCCAGTTTCGTACCTTTTTTGGGCCCTTTAGGGTTTAGGGTTTCGGGACCTGTTTGCCAGGGGCCACCGTATTCTTCGCTTAGGGTACTTGAATTAGACACAAGCTGTCATTTTGGTTTACTAGAACCCTTAAGGAACAGCGAAAATGATCATTTGTGGAATCCTTCGGGCTGAACTTGGGATGTTTATAGGGACTCAGGTGCCCCATATGAAAATCCCTATCAAGGACTGTTTTGGAAGGCGGGGCACGTCCCAAGGTAGCTGTCAAAGTGAGGATAATCTCCTAAATACCCTAACAAAAATGCAAAACCCTAGTTCTTGAGGTGCCTGTCGTATATATATATATATACAAATATATATATATATATATGTGAATTATATATATATATATAGGATTACATATATTTATATTTTATATGAATTATATGTATATATCTATATGTATATATATATATAGAGGCTGGGGAACATCCCAAGGCTAAACTAGCTGTCAGAGCGCCAAGAGTTGGGTGTTGGCCTCATGGCACAGGCCATTCCGTCCCCTGAGCTGCTAAAGTCAACCAGCCCAGCCCAAACCCCGGCCATGAGTTTTGAGCGGGTTGAGGGTTAAGGGCTGAAGGTGGATTTGGGTTTAGGGTTTAGGGTTTAGGGTCTAGTGTGTAGGGTTTGGGGTTTGGGGTTTGGGGTTTGGGGTTTGGGGTTTGGGGTTTAATTAGGGTTTATCTGGATTCAGGGTCCTACAAGGGACTCAATTTTTACATGCTGTCAGTATCTCTAGGAAGATCCTAGTGGAAAGCACCCTCCACAAATCGGGGAACCCTAGCATAGACCCCAAATCGTCCGATTCCCTGGAAAATAAGGACCCCAATAAGGTACCCCCCCCCCCCCCATTTCGGCAACCCCCATACTGTACTGGGAACCCTAAGACCCTAAACCCTAAACTCTAAACTCTAAACCCTAAACCCTGAACCCTGAACCCTAAACCCTAAACCCTAAACCCTAAACCCTACTGGGATTGCAGGTTTTCACCGAAGTTCGACATGGCAGGCCAGGAGCCAATTCAGTCTGTCTCGACCAGAAGCCAGCCAAGCTGAAGCCGAAGCTGTTTAGGGTTTAGGGTTTAGGGTTTAGGGTTTAGGGTTTAGGGTTTAGGGTTTAGGGTTTAGGGTTTAGGGTTTAGGGTTCGAGTTATGAGGGTTCAGGGTTTAGGGGTTTACGGGGTGGACTGCCCCAGTAACCAAAGCCTCCTCGAAATCCAAGCCCTACGCCGGGATGCACCCACAACCCGGACCTACACATCGCAATGTGGCTCAGGGGTTGAGGTGTAGGACCAAGGTACCGCGAAACTGTTTCGAGTTTGCCAAGCCGGCAATCCACCGATCCGAGCTTAAGCAAAAGAGCAAAGACTCCTCCAACTTCCAACCGTCAGGGGGTGTCAGAGCATGCCCCCGAAGCTTGTTACGTGCGGCTTCAAGGTTAAAGGTTTTGGGCTTCAAAGGCTTAGGGGGCGTTCTTGGGGCGCTCTGCTTCAGCAGGTCTACAGTTCCACAGGCTTCAGGGTTGCACTTGCGAGCGTCGCCCTAAACCTGCAAGCCCCGCAGCCCTAACTCTTTTAGGGTTTAGGGTTTACGGAGCCTTATAAAGCCCTGACCCCTAAAAGCCCTTGGGGAGCCGCTCAGTTCCCAAGAGGCGTGCACGGCCTGCAGCTCGAGTTGCAACTCTTCAGGCTCGGCAAACGTTTCACGTGTACATACAAGTATTCGTATGGGTGTATCCGTGCAGACAACATCTAGATGCACAAGTCCAAGTTTAAGTCTATGTGTGAACATATATACATATATATATATATATATATATGGGCGTCAGCCTATTGCGGTTCCCCTCATCTTTTACAGGTTTACATAAATGTATATTTTAAACGCTAAACTATCGTTAGAACCACAGCAACAAGTCGATGATGATGTAGGTACCCCAAACCTATAGGGTTAAGTTTGACAGGTTTAGGGCTTAAGATTGAGGCATTTAAACGTAAGCCCGCAATGAAACCTAAACCCTAACCGTTCAACCCGATAGAGTTAAAGTTAAGCGGTTAGGGTTTAAGATTTAGGTATTGTTAAACTTTAAACCTAAAGCCATAGAGATTTATCCTTAAGGGTTGAAAGTTCGGGCAGTTAAACCTTAACCCTGAACCGTTTAGGGTCAGAACCCTAAAACCCGATAGGGCTCTACAAGGGACAAAGGTTTTGACCCTAAAGGGTGCTGAAGGTATACATGCCCAGACCTTAGGTTTTCTTGAACCATTGGTTTAAAAGGCTTAGGGTTTAAGGTTTAGGCATTACCTGTACGATAGAACCTTAAAGCCCTATAGGGCTTGGGGCTTAAATCCCTAAACCTTAAATCCCATAGGGCTATGCCTACGTTTGTAGGGCTTTCTTCCCGGTGACGCGAGAATACTGTGAGCAAATGTCCTTTTCACTACTTCCTGGGATTCAAAATATAAACAAACCATATCATTATATGATAGAATTCAGGTTTTGCTTATCGGGGGATGGTTGCTTGAGCTATCTTAGGTAAGGTGAAGTTTTTAGGAAAGAGGTTTTGTTTTGCTTGTTGGGGCGTGATGGGGTTACCCTCATTTGCTTATAGGTTATTTACATGTATATCAATCAAACCCTGAACCATAGTTATAACCGCAGCAAAAAGTTATAACCTTGTCATATAGAAATTTGCGCAGAGCTCGTCAAATCCGATGATGATGAAGGCACCCCAACCCTGTAGGGTTAAGGTTGACAGGTTTAGGGTTAAAGATTGAAGCATTGAAACCTAAGCCGGCAATTCAACCTATAGAGTCCGGGTTTAAGAGTTAGGGTTTAAGGCGCAATCCCATATAGTATACGTATACTTATGAGCAGAAAAGATACGGGAGACACTGCTTGCGATTCAGAATATTCGGAGCAGAAGGATACAGGGGACACTGCTTGCGAATCAGAAGTTGAGGAGCAGAAAAGATGCGGTCGAGGTACCTCGGCAGGAGCACCATTAAACCATTAAACCATTAAACCATTAAACCATTAAACCATTAAACCATTAAACCATTAAACCATTAAACCATTAAACCATTAAACCATTAAACCATTAAACCATTAAACCATTAAACCAATGGTTTCCCCCTTATGAGAATCCCCTATTGTATTAAACCATTGAACCATTAAACCAATAAACCAATGGTTTCCCCCTTATGAGAATCCCCTTTTCTATTAAACCATTCAACCAATAAACCAATGGTTTCCCCCTTATGAAAATCCCTTAAACCATTAAACCATTAAACCATTAAACCATTAAACCATTAAACCATTAAGCCATTAAACCATTAAACCATTAAACCATTAAACCATTAAACCATTAAACAATTAAACCATTAAACCATTAAACCATTAAACCATTAAACCATCAAACCATTAAACCATTAAACCATCAAACCATTAAACCATTAAACCAATGGTTGCCCGCCATGAAAATGGTTTAATGGTTTAGGGGATGCTCATATGGGGGAAACCATTGGTTTAATGGTTCAATGGTTCAATGGTTTAGGGGATTTTCATAAGGGGGAAACCATTGGTTTAATGGTTTAATGGTTTAGTGGTTTAATGGTTTAATGGTTTAATTGTTTAATGGTTGAATGGTTTAATGGTTTAGGGGATTTTCAGAAGGGGGAAACCATTGGTTTAATGGTTTAATGGTATGGTTTAATGGTTTAATGGTTTAATGGTTTAATGGTTTAATGGTTTAATGGTTTAATGGTTTAATGGTTGAATGGTTGAATGGTTTAATGGTTTAATGGTTTAATGATTTAGGGGGGAGACCATTGGTTTAATGGTTTAATGGTTTAATGGTTTAATGGTTTAATGGTTTAGGGGATTCTCATATGGGGGAAACCATTGGTTTAATGGTTTAATGGTTTGAGGGATTCTTGGTTAGATGGTTTAAGGGAATGTGCAAACAACACAGGGGAACCGCTATAGGCGGTGACCCATATATATATATATATATATACATACATCTACACACTAAACTCTGTTCTTCATGCGATGGATGCTAAGGATTGTTGCGGATTAAATCCCAGGAGTTTTGTATAAGGAAGCTCTAACAGGGCCCTTGCAATCCCCAGCCCAAATATCCCGGAGCCCTTGGCCTTTTGCTTGGTTTTGCTCGGGTCTGCAGTGGCTGCTGGTCCTTCGTGTGTGCATTCTACCGAATGAAGAGTGAGCAACTAGCTGAGGAAATGTGAGTGGGGTCATACTTACAAAGTGCATACATACGGACAAACCGTATACCTTAGGGTTTGCGAAAGCTTCTTGCCCATGACTGTGAGCCCAGACCACAGCTCACGGGCCAGTAGATGTAAGCTCAGGGTCTATGACCTTTACCAGGGGGTCGTATAAGGCCCAGTACCTAGTTTCCTCATTCCCTACTACAATTGTAATTTCAGGGTTTGGGGCATTAGGCCTCAGCTCAGAAAGTTTTAGGGATGTAAGCAGCCTGCTATGTGCCTCAGCCCGTTGGCATTCTGGGTTAGGGTTTAGGGGTCAGGGTATTTTGAGACTGGAGTGGAGTGAAGGTGGGCCCTGGGCCCAGCATTTAGAGGCTCAAGCTTTGAACCCACTTGCATTCCCAGACCGAATTAAAACCGGTTTATCCCTGAACCATCCTGTTCCACCCTTAAGCCTCCAAACGTGTAGGCCCTGCAGCCCTAAACCCTAAACCCTAAACCCTAAACCCTAAGCTTCCAAACCTCTATAGGCCCCTAAGCCCGAACAACCGCTGCACCCTCAGCCAAAAATCTCAACCTCCCATGGCTGCTTTCGTGGGCTACGGGAAGATCCCTCTGGGCAGCTGCGGCGAAGCAGATTCCGGGGGCGACTGGTGCGTGACGGACGTCCCGGGTTCAGCGGTTTCACGGTTTAGGGTTTAGGGTTTCGGGTTTAGGGTTTAGGGTTTTGGGTTCGGGAGGGGGGGGGGGGGGGGGGGTGGGGTTTAGGAATCAGGGGTTTTGTGGCTTAGGGTTTATAGGGGACCATATTTGGAGAGAACTTCTGGCGGTACACTACTAGGATGCCCAGAAGTGCCCTTATTCCCTTTTTTGGGGGTTTAGGTTTAGGTTCCATTACAAACCCCTTTAAGCAAAAAAGGCCACCCAGACTACTAGGGGAAGGAGCTTGCATCCCTTGAGGAGAAGGTCCACGGGGCCAACTTCTCCATCCATGTGGACAGGAGAGGGTGGCAGTTTGCAGACCCTAAGCCTAAGCCCTATAAACCCTAAGCCCTTAAGCCCTTAAGCCCTAATCCCTAAACCCTAAACCTACACAGTTCTTGAACTTTGAATTTGGAACTTGTAACTCCAAAAACACACTGAACCTCTGAAACCTAAATCGTTCAGACCACTGCTGGAATGCCTGTCTATACTCTCCCCTTCCCCACAAACACAAAAAACCTTGTCGGAATAGTCTCACCATTTCGAGTGGCGTTTTCTGCAGTTGAAGTCATCCTCGTAGGGTGAAGCCTGAGCAGGTGTGGGTCCATGCGCTGTGCAAAGCGGACCGCCTTCCTCAAGGAACATGAGGACTTCTTCGGGCACTTCGGCATGCTGTCGCTGGGCAGCACTTTGGGGCAAATTTTGGGATCAGGCAACTTTGGGTTCAGGGTCTCTGAGCCCGGGTTCAAGGGTTTGGGGCTTATGGTTTAGGATTTAGGGGAAGCATTGGGGCTGCCCAGATAAGGAGCCGATGTCGAACCGACTTCCGGCGACTTGCAGAGGAAGTCTTCCAAATGGCTGGGGCTGTGGTCGATACAGTAGCTTCGTAGCCCAGTGGTACCCGTTTGCCCTTTTTGTTGGTTCAAGGTTTCATTCTAAAACAACCAACCCAAAAACCTAAAAACCCTAAACCCCTAATAGGGTAATTACCCTTATTCTGATACGGTTCCTGGGCTACCAAAGGTAACCCTCTTTGGAGAGCTGTGTGGAGGAAAGTATCCCCAGAAGACAGTGCCCGAGCAGCCCAATGTGCGGCCTGTGCAGACTGGGGTGTGGTACTTTGGCAAGCACGGTTTAGGGTTTAGGGTTTAGGGTTTAGGGTCGGCCTTGTCAAGATTTTGGCGCTTTCGTATATGACAGTTTTGCATGTTCTTTTTCTTGGGGTAGAATTTACCCCATTGGTCCACGTACTTGGCGACCAACTTTGCAATCTAGCTAGGACGGAACAAGAACAGCACCGAAACCAGCTACGACTGTCAAGGGTAGAGACAAGTTAAGTACAGTCTGCCCAAGAGTTACGCAGTGTGTTCAATTATATGTGCAGTTTATTGAACTTGATTATGTGTTTTAGCTTTCTAGGTCAGGGCTTGAAATATTGTTGTGTTTGCGTGTGTGTGCTGGCGGTCAGCTTCAAACAAGAGGAACTGACGCTCCTTGCCCGGGCAGTGAATGGCACAGCTGAGGTACAGCCCTTGTGTCGAATTTGTCCTGTTCGACATTGCGCTGTGTGGGCCCACTGGCCGGTCCTTCATGGCCTTCAAGTCCGTGCCGCGCCAGTTGCTCAGGGTGTAAGTTCAAGGGCTTCCGGGTTTGTGGGCTGTTGTGCTGTGGTAGAGGTTGCTAGTCCCAAACTCAAAGCTTGAGACCTTTTTGCAACCGACATCCTCCTCTCCTCTCAGAAAGGGTTTAGGTTTGCACAGGTAGCTGAGCTGGCTGCAAAGCACAAGCTTCCCTGCGTGCCTGTGCTCCTCGTGGGGTCGCGTGGGGACTGCGCCAACTTCAACCCGAAGTTCGAGTCAAAAGTCCCTGCCGCCTTGGGCCTACCGGCACCTCTTCAGAGTTAGTTGGGCTTAAAAACGGTATCACTATTGTTGTTGCATAACTTCGACACATGTGTGTGTGTGTGCGTATATACATAGAAGTTTATCTACATCGGGGTTGAGGAGAGGCGCCTTGGATGTGGAGGTGCCTTTTGCTCAGTCCCTCTAAGGGTGTTTTAGGGAGCTTGTGCCAAGAATCGAGGTGCTGTCGGGGAATTTCGCAGAGGGCATCGTGGTGAAGCCATGGGAGGAGAGCACGGCTGCAGAGGCCCCGAGTGGGTTTAGGGTTTAGGGCCTAGGGTTCAGGGTTTAGGGTGAGGGTGCTTGTGGGGTTCAGAGCGGGGGGGGGGGGGGATTAAGTCTTGCGAAGAGGTTCCGACAGTGACATGTCAGATGAAATTGTGTTGGTGGGGCTTCGTTTGGGGCTTCCAGACAAGAAAAGATTGGGATTTGCTGCGCAGTCGTTTGCATGAAGCTTTGCTTCCGAAGTTCAGGTAAAGAATAGTCAGAATGCGAAGGAGTCGTGGGGCACTTGATGAGTTCATCATATAATGACGGCATGGAAAATGATGCTCTACACTGGTCTTACAAGAAATGGCGAACTGCGAAACTCAGGAGCCTGACTACTTTCAAAGGCTCTCAGAATCTTTTTTCTTCTAGTATAAACTGCCAGCAAAATTCCTTTCTCCAACGCAAGAAATGCCCTGTACTGGGGCATTTCAAGCATTTCGAATCCCAGACCCTAAACCATACACATGCTTCAAGCCTTATCCTGCCGGGAAGTTCCCCGCACCGTTGCCTGCGAACGTGCTTTAGCCCCGAGGCTATAATGTCGAAACCGCATGGTTCAGGGGTTAATGGGGTTTAGGGTCATTGCAGTTTGGTTGAGGGTTCACGCAGTCAAACGGAATCCACGTCGCTGGCTTCATGTGGGCTTGCGCACATAAGAGGACAGACCCATCCTCAAGATCAAGATTCAGGACTGGAGAGAAAGCCAACCATACGGGCTTGGGTTTAGGGTTTAGATTGGCTGGGTTTCCTGGATGGTTTTGGGGCTCTTAATATTATTTTCTGGAACTACGTACATTAAGGCAGTTGTCCCAAATGCTGGTCGCTTCCTGCGTGTAATTTCCATGTACAAGGCCAGACGGACATCTCCTGGGTTTTCAGGTTTGGGGATCTAGGGGGTCTCAGGGTTTACTTGGAGGTTCATGGGAGTAGTTAGAAGTAGGGTTATAAGTACCCCGCATGGGGTTGTAAGTACAGTATACCGTGAGGGCTTGATCAGCTTTGAGTCGGCATACCCGGCTAGACCCGCAGTTCCGGGCTTCGTTGGGAGGACTTCTCTGAGGGCGGCGGCTGTCCACCCGCGCCTGGGGATCCAGCCATGCGGGACTACCTCTTGGGGCAGGCATCAGTTTGCTTCGATAAGTATTATTAATATTAATAGTATTATGATTATGCTTATGACTATTATTATTATTATGATTGTTGCTTTTTGTTTTTTCAAACATGGAGCTCCCGACATGCAGGCAACTCAGCCTGCTTATCTTCGCAACCAAGGGATTTGGGGGGGGGGGGGGGGGGGAGTTTGGCTGTTTTCTTGTTGCATGTTTCTAAGGCTTGCAGTGCTTAGGTGCTGGGGAGCACCTGGGAAGCTTGGAGCCCTGAGACCTATGTAAGCCCTGGGGAAAAGTATCTTCAGACGGCGCCAGGTCAACGCGAATCGGCTCGATTCGGCGGCGAGTAAGGCGGACGTTATGCAAGGTTTTCGGCTAGTTGGAGGATGGGCTCTTTGGCCTCAGCTTTACAAAGTAAAAGGCAACAGTCAAACTGAGGATAATATCCTAACACCCAAGATACTCTAAACCCTCGATTCCTAGATACTGAGGTGCGAGTTTTAGGGCTGGGCTTTCGGGCAGAGAGCCTACGCTTGGAGGGAATATCTACTGCGCTCGGAGAGATAGGCAAGCCTTCACGAAACAGGGATCAAAACCGTAAACCCTGCCAGGCCCAGCAGCTAGAAAAGCTTTTTCGCATGCCCACACAGGAAGCCCTGAACTCCAAACGCAGGGAATAAGGCTTTAGGGGCTAGACAAACTTATACCGCAGAGTTTAGGTGCAACATTTACAGCAGGAGTTTGTTTCAAGATGTGGCTCCCGCCTTGTGGCCATGTAACCCTTAAGGGTGATGCAGGGCACTTAGTTCCCTGATCCCCCTACTCAGAACGCAAAAACCCCTAAACTTTATTTCCCTGACTTCCTGCCAAGAAGCCCAAACACCGACAGGTGGGCAGCGCGGACGTCATGGACCACTGGGATGCGCCCTCTCGCCGGCGATTGGATAGAAGCGATGGGATCTCCAAGGGGCGGGTTTAGGGTTTGGGGGTTAGGGGTTAGGATTTAAGGGTTTATGGAGTTTATGGTTCGGTGTGTGAGGTTTGGGGTTTGGGGATTCGGGTTTGGCGTGTCAGGGCTAGGGCTGACAAAAGGAGCGAGCCAAAGGACTTTCGTAAACTCTGGGGCGGCGGGGGGGGGGAAGGCTTTGAAACGGGCACCCTATTTCTGGAAACTCCCAAATCGGAATTCGAAAGCCCACTGAGCTGCGCTGTCAGGAAAACTGCCGGAAGAGAGAGACCCTGAACCTGGCCCTAAAATGAGACCTAGGGTTGAGGGTTTAGGGTTTAGGGTTTAGGGGCTTCCTCAAAAGGATCGTTGACCTCGTGATGGAGGACATCCGGGACGACGTAGGCCGCTGGCTCTGAAGAGTCCCCAAAAGCCTCCCAACCTCAAATTTAAAAAGCCCTGAAACCCTAAACCCGAAACCCTGAACCCGAAACCCTAAACCCGAAACCCTAAACCCAAAACCCAAAACCCAAACCCTAAAACCCTGAAACCCTGAAGCCCTCGAGCTGAGGTGAGGATCCCACGTTGGCGGCTCTCTGGCCGCAGCTGCGATGCGAAGCCTTTGACCTGCTCGCAGCAACTCGGAGAGCCAGGCTTTGGGGACTTAGGGTTTTGAGGCTTCAGGGTCTTGGGTTTAGGGTTTAGGGTTTGGGGTTTGGGGTTTGGGGTTTAGGGTTTAGGGTTTTGGGGTACTTTCTTGTTATAGACAGCTTGTCGGACATAGTTGGAATGCCTCTGCTACTGTTTCGGTCATCATTGCTGTTGTTACTGCTATTGGTCTGGCCTACAGTTGTTCTATTTGGTACCATATACGGAACATTGTACGTTCCCTTACCCCACTAGACTCACTAGACACAAAGTAAACCCTAAACTTGTTCCTTGAGTACTGGGCAACCTAGGCACGATACGCCCAAGGTGGCGAGGGCGACGCGGAAGCCTCATGATCGCTTGAGGCCTTTTTGTTGGGACTCTACTACTCCAAAAGCATCAAAAACTCTCAGGCGGCGAACTCACCCGGGCTGTGATTCCTGCACAGCTTTCGCAACAGACGTCTGAGACGTCGAGCCTGTACAGATCATCAGAGGCATGCGACAGCCTGTTCGACTAGTTTTGGGGTCAATAGCATGCTGGTTTTGTAAACATACAGGGTCGACCTCGTAGAGCAGCGCTGGTCAAGGCCGGGTTAGCAAGAGAGCTCGAGGAGTTGTACAGACGCGCGAGCACCGTCAGAAAGGTTGTTGAGTCGTCACGGGCCTTTCGGCTTGCAGGCTCCTAAGCCCAAACGCCCCGTAAGGCTGGCAGAGGCAGTCTGGCGAGATTGTGTGCGGTTGAGAGTGTTGAACGCCGCGTTGAGGGTGCTCCGGCTTGGACGTCAGGGTCCACATGCCTAAACTAGACAAACTAGAGTCCCCTGCTACTGTTCTTGGAGGTGTTTTTGGTAAGGGGCTTGCTTGTATCCGGCACCGATTAACGGACCTTAAGATAAAGCAGCCCCCACATATGGCCGTCCACACACCCTGCACGCATCTCTGCATCTCGATAGCTTGCACATTGCTGAAGTTGTATGATCAGTTCCCTAAATGATGGTCCCTTTCTGGGCCTGTTGTGATACGACTCAGAGAAATGCTCGCAGCAAGCGCCAGGCCATCCGACTGGGGGGCGCGCGCCTGAGAAATCGACATGAATGCGTTTCTGCAATGCCCTGAAAGGACTTTAGTTGAGGACATTTTTGGGAACTCCAGGGTCAGGGCGACGAGCAATTGGACGGTCAACATCTGAACTTGTTGTGCGGCCCAACCACAAAAAATATAAAAACATAAACTCCGAGGCAGAAGGCGAAACATCCGGAGATGTCGCCATCTACCTGTGGGCCGTGGGCCAAGTCTGGGAGGTTGATTCGTGGGGTGACGCCGGGCCTAGTTATCTGTGTCTTCGAGTTATTCTGGGGTTGTTGTTGCCTTGGGTTGTCACTGAGGGCTTGGGTTGCCGAACTGTTGGGGGGCCGGGCAGTGCAATCCAAAGAGATGATTAGGAGACCCTGCACTGACTTTCTAAGTTGCTTTTACGGCGGGACTCGCTCTTCGTTAGACATGTTGCATGTCCAACCCAGCACCCACAGATTTGTTATCCCATTGAGTCTGCTGTATTTGCCTTTTGGGGCTCTGCTTCTGGTTTTCCTATTTGGGTCCCAGCTACCTTGGAGTGTTCTAGAGGGCTTGCTGCCAAGGCGAAACCCTGAAGCCCTCAACCCCGAAAACCTTTGAACCCGAAACGTGCTGTTGCTGGGAGATGGAACGACACATGAGGGTTAAAAAAGACCACATTGAATTAAAGATATACAACGGTTAAGCATTCGGATGACCTTTTTTAGGGAGCCACTTCACCACTCCCTCGATTAACTCCTAGAACTAAACCCTAAACCCTAAACCCTAAACCCTAAAAACCCTCAGCCCCCCTGAGGCCCTAAACCCTTAACCCTAACAAGCCCTCAGCCCACCTGAGGCCTGCAAGGGCATGCCGGGGCCTGAGCACCTGTGGGATTGCCTGGCGAAAGCCGCACCTGCAGGAAAAACCCTCAACCCTATAGCGTTTAGGGTTTAGGGTTTAGGGCTGAACCCAAAATCCTAAGCCCCTGAACCCTAAACCCCTAAGCCCCACAAAGGAGCGATTCCGGAAGAATCGGTCATGCTGTATCAGATTTCGAGAAGACTTCTTAGATCTTCGGGCTATGTTTTGCTCATCTTGTTGGGGTTTAGAGCGGGGGGATTGTAGTTTAGGATGAATTTGAAGGCAAAGCAAGTGTTATCAGAGTCGACAGCTCAGACTGGCTCGGTGCTAAACAGAAATGAGAGCAAACTCCACTTTGGCCATTGTCAAGTTCCCGGACAGAGGAGCCAAGTTGCCCGAAACCCTGAACCCTGAAGCCTCGTGGCCCCAAAACCGAAGTTGAATCCACCCTTGCTGGTGGGCGCCCAGGAATCTGGTCTTCAAGCTCTACTGCGGAGGCCCCTAGGGCGTTGGGGTTAAAGGCCCGAACAGTACCAGATTGAGCTAAGCAAAAACCCACATGATCCGAATTCCTGAGGAGACCAAGCGCTCAGACTTTAAACCCTAAACAAGGGTCCCGCAGATCGAAAGAAGGCCGGTAGTCACCTTCAAACAGCCCGCGAGAACCCAGACCTCACTCTTCAGGGTTCTTGCCCCAATTTTCGGATCTCAGAGCCGAAGGTCTAGTGCAGGGCTCGTGGATATCATGACTTCGTGATGCTTGCTGAACTGGAAGAAAGCTGGGATGACTGGGGGGGGGGGGGGGGGCCGACCCTGCCTCTCCAAACCCAAAGCCCCAAAGCCTCTGGCACGAGGCAAGTCGCAGACCTGTGAGAAGGTCTTCAATGGCAAGGCACGCACCGCCTGAAGTCGATCTTGAACCGGGTTGAATTCCGCCAAGAAGAGCCTGCACATTCTTGCATAGCCTTATAGGTGGAACGGCGTCATTTAGGCCATGACGAGGGGACGAGGGGTAGCTGCGTTTACTGTTTTTTTCATGTGTTTCATTCATACCTTAGAGGCGGACCCACCATGTTTAAACAGGTTTAAACCTTGGTGTTCCCAGCATATCGGAGAAGGTAGTGGTGTGGGTGCCAAGGCTTCGTGCTTGGAATTGCTTCTCAGTGCGGGCTCAGGCCGTGAGTTCGGATGACACCCCAACTGCTTGAGGGTTTAGCTCTTCCCTAAACCCCAAACCCTAAGCCCTAAACCCTAAGCTTCTTGGCAAATTGCTGGAATCCTAAACTCGAAGCCACTCTGCAGGTGCCCTACGGGACCTCGCGCTTCTGCTGGTTGAAAGACCAGATCAACCGCGAAGACGATACCCTTAGAATAGGCGTGGCCCCGAGTTTAGGGTTTAGGGTTTAGGGTTTAGGGTTTAGGGTTTAGGGTTTAGGGTTGAGTTAGCTGGGCTTAACGAACCGAAGCCCCGAACGGTACCCTCGTTTCCTAGATTGCTGGAAGCCGAAAATATAATAGAAAACATGAGCTTTCAACCTAGCAAGGGAAAGTTAAATACTCCCGCACGGCCTGCCACAAGCATGACACAGGAGGACAACGAGTTGGTTTTGGGGTTCAGGGTTACGGTTTTTTGTCACAGAGTTTGGGGCACAGGCTTGCCGGTGGCTGGCGAGCGCAGAAGCAGCCTAGACTCAGCAGCCGAGTGAGTAACTTTGACGCCTTTCTCAACACGAGGGTCCCTTAAATAGACACCAAATTACCAAAGAAACCTGAAATGCTAAACCCAAAAGGGTACCCCCAGTTGCAATTATCGGAAACTTCTGTAGTTCCGAAGGCATTCTTGTTTTTTCGGTTATTTCAGGCAAAATGGGCCCTTGGCGTTGATGGGGGAAATAAGAGCTCTCCAATGAAAGCGTCCATACGAAATACTGTGTAACCTTTACCTCCTTGATAGCCCAGTGATACTTTTTGCCCTGTTACGGGGTTCAAGGTTCCCTTATAAAGCACCACCCAAGAAAGGGTACCCTGATTGTAATATGGGTACTGGGCTACCAAGCCCCTAACTACCAAAAGCGCAACCCCGAACTATCCTAACCCCTAAACCCCAACCCCTAACTACCCCAAGACTTTCGCTCAGCCAAGAGACCAGCAGCTTAGGGTTTAGGGTTAGGGGGAGGAGCAGGGGGTTTTCCAGGGTGGTGTAGCCCTGACTGGCTTCATTGGCAGCGACATTTGGCCCCTGAGGGCCTCTAATCCTTAGGGATACTTGGAAATAAATATATTTTTGGGGGTACGATAATTCCTAAGAAACAGAGAAAATTATAAGTATTGCTAGGGTTCCAAGGTCAGTATAGACACCGAAAGCTTGAAAGATTAGGGCTCCGGTGCCCAAAGCCCTAAGCCAACTGCCCTTAACGAAAGCGAAGACTCGAGACTCCAAAGTAGACATCGGATATATACTCCAACCCCTAAACCCTTAATTAAACCCTAAACACTACCGGTAAGCTCTAAACCCTACAAACCCTATAATTCCTGAATCTCAGCAGTCCCAGAGCTGTGAGCGCAAGGCTGTGAAGTCCTGGAAGCGGTGCGTGAGGCAAACAAGTCATGGCATTGTCCGGATGTAGGGTTTAGGGTTCAGGGTTTAGGGAGACCTGGTTCTCGCTTGATGGGCACGTCAATCCCTTTGCTGTTAGTGGTAGTCAACCACGACGCTGTGTGTCCTTTGCAGAGAGCACTGGCAGAACTTCTGATTCCGGCGATTGCTAGGTCAGGGCGGGGAGGCGGCGGGGGCAGGGGAGGGGGTAGCAGTAGCAATAGCTCCCGGAACCTTGCGCCCTATAATCCCGTCCCGCTAACGTTACAACCCATCCAAAAATGGCGCCTACACATCACAGATGACATGCAGAGGGCTACAGAGTCCCAATTATCAGTATATTGAGAATACTGTATATCATCATATTCTTCAGCATTAGGAGTACGATCGCTGTTAGCATTGGAACTTACAGGAGTCTCATGGCTATCATATGTGATTTGAACCAACATCATGAACATTTTGGCTGTTCTGACTTTATGGTTATCATGGATCTTTGCTAGTATATATTTACTCACTTATATTCAAGTACACATGTGATCACCTCTTGGTTGGGGAGGAAGGGATTAAACCCTGACCCACCGGCATTCCGCATGTGCCTGGGCACAGGTGGAGCACATTTGCAAGCCGCTGCCCCTACCCAGCGCAGAGGTAAGGGAATACCATGGTTTGAGGGGGCTTTCGGCGTTAAGGCGGTGGATATAGGGTGTCCAGTTTCTACGGGCCTGGGAAGCACAGGCCGTACCGATGTGATATTCTGCTTGAACAGAAGTGAAGCCTTTCAGCCCGCATGCGTTATGAGCTGCAAAACCTGCAGGATCTCGAGCATGCCAGTCTGGCAGA